TTTAGTCGTCAGACGATCGTACTATATTTTATTGGCATACTAAATATGGATTGCTGTTTTGTTTAATTCTGGTATTTAAAATGTCATAATCATTATTATAAAATCTAATTTTCCCTCATCTAGGTAATGTGTCCTATGCTCTTTTTGGGTGTGATCTATGCAGCTATCCAGTTGCATAATGGCAATTACTCATCGTCTATCAACAATCAAAAATCGAAAAGAGGATATCATTCTATTTTAGCGCAAACTGGTTTGACTGCAGTACTATCTAACCTAATAGCTATCCACTTTTTTGTTTGGTTGAAAGATGAAGGTAGTTGGTTAGATATAGGGACTAGTATTAGTCATTACGTTATTGCTATGTCTATTAGTCTAGCTGGATTTCTTTTCACATTATTGGGAAAGGAAATGTTAAGTTTTTCAGTGAGTTCTAACATACATCAAAAGCTGTTGAAAGTATCTAATAAACATGTATAATAACCACCTTTCTGATTATATGTTGTAATTATCCTTTAACGTGTTGAACTTTGGCTACGTTTTGTTTGACTTTTTATTGTACATGGAAAGCTACTTAAATCTAAAATAAAAGTGATATTAATAGACAAATGTTCTACTCAACTCAATGCCCTTAATTGTAAAGATATACTTTACGTTATACGATATGGTCAATGACAGCAGAGGGAATAAATACGTTTATGAGTAAGTAATGTCTAATAGAAATTAATAATCCGACTGAACAAGCAGATGTAGGTACATGTATTTGTTTCATAAAAATCAGAAATATCACTCAAATCGGAGTAGTAAGAACATACTTTGAAGGCGAGAGCTGAAGCCACAAACTAGTCACAATTCGATGGTCGTTTAATGACACATTAAATTTTAATTACTTCTTTTTTCCATTAGTGTATCCTGGTTTGACAAGACCTGAGAGTGTACAGTCATATCTAAGTGTTATTTTTTTAATACTGGTAGTAACAAAAACACTGAGTATTCACTAGTTTATATGATTAGTGTAAAAACTAAGTGAAGCAGCGACTTATTCATTAGGGAATTCGACTTTTAGTCAACAGGTGGGGCATAACTCTAAGAACTCTTGATTATTGTTTAAAAATGATACAGTAATATATCGTTGATTGAAGAGCAGATGGTGATAATCTAACAATATCGCCTTATCTATCATTCATTTTGCCTCAACTGTCGGATGAATTATAATTGTAGTCACGCCTAATGATTATTACATCGCGAAACTTAAAGACAGTGATATCCTCAAAACTACAAGCTTTAATTTAAAAGGACGTGTCGATTAGAATCCTAAGGATTAGCAATATGGAACTGAGGAAAGAAAGACTTGAAGATTATCAATTTGTCATCAGCATTCAAATAAAATAATTATTAGTTGCTGATTGAATTCAATAATACTGGTGTTCAGTGTATCCTTATGAGCTTTATTTTTACAAAGTATATAACATGCATAGGTTGGTTTAGATAAAGTCAAAATTTAAGACGGGATATAAATCAACGTTCAACCGTTACGAAGTGTTCGCGCGCAGGACCGATAGGTCCTTGGTTAAAATCCCGCGAGCTGGATCGTGGACGCCCAATGCTGAGGAGTCACATACTAGAACGGAATGGCCGTCCGGTGCTTCTAGGTTTTCCATGACTACTTACTTACTTACGTCTGTTACTCCTCGTGAAGGAGCATAGACCGCTCACCAGCATTCTCCATCAAACCCTGTCCTGGGCGATCCTTTCGAGCTCTTTCCAGTTCCTATTTATCCTTTTCATATCTGTTTCTATTTCCCGACGTAATGTGTTCTTCGGCCTTCCTCTTTTCCGCTTCCCATCAGGATTCCAAGTTAGGGCTTGCCTCGTGATGCAGATTGGTGATTTCCGTAGTGTATGTCCTATCCACTTCCATCGTCTTTTCCTAATTTCCTCTTCAGCTGGAAGCTGGTTTGTTCTCTCCCACAGAAGGCTGTTGCTGGTATCCGGCCAATGGATGTTGAGTATCTTGCGTAGACAACTATTTGTAAATACTTGTACTTTCTTGATGATGGCTGTAGTAGTCCTCCAAGTTTCAGCTCCATACAGTAGGACTGCCTTGACGTTCGTATTGAAAATTCTCACTTTGATATTGGTTGAAAGTTGTTTTGAGTTCCATATGTTCTTCAATTGTAGGGATGCGGTCCTTGCTTTGCCAATCCTCGCCTTTACGTCTGCATCCGATCCCCATTGTTCATCGATGATGCTTCCCAGGTCCGTGAAGGATTCCACGTCTTGCAGAATTTCACCACTAAGTGTGGTTGGGTTAGTGTTCTCGGTGTTGTATTTGAGAACCTTGGTTTTTCCTTTGTGTATGTTGAGGCCCACTGATGAAGAGACTGCTGCTACACTAGTTGTCTTCACCTGCATTTGTTCGTGTGTATGGGATAGGATGGCTAGGTCATCTGCGAAGTCCAAATCGTCTAATTGATTCTAAGCTGTCCATTGTATGTTGTGTTTTCCCTCAGATGTCGAGGTCTTCATAATCCAGTCGACCACCAGAAGAAAGAGGGAGGGAGAGAGTAAACAGCCTTGTCTGACTCCGGTCCTTACTTGGAATGCATCTGCCAGCTGTCCTCCATGCACGACTTTGCACTGTAGTCCGTCGTATGAGTCCTGGATAATGTTGACAATCTTCTCAGGAACTCTGTAGTGTCGAAGAAGTTGCCATAACGTTCTCCTATCTACACTGTCAAACGCCTTCTCAGTCAATGAAGTTGATGTATGATGATGAGTTCCACTCAAGTGATTGTTCGACGATGATCCGTGGTGTCGCAATTTGGTCTGTGCACGACCGATCCTTACGGAATCCAGCCTGTTGATCTCGAAGTTGGGCGTCTACCGCGTCTTTCATCTAGTTCAGCAACACTCTGTTAAAGACTCCCTGGTATTGACAGTAGTGTGATGCCTCTGGAGTTTTCACATTTGCTCAGATCTCCTTTAGAATTTTCATGAGGTGTCCTTCTTTCCAGTCCGTCAGCACTTGTCCTTCCTCCTTATTCTTCTTGAATAAAAGGTAAAGCATGTTTGTGGTTCGATGTCTGAATTCAGTGCTTCAGCTGGTATACTGTCAGGTCCTGCTGCTTTCCCGCTCTTGATTTGTCTGATGGCCATTCTGATTTCTTCAGTCGTTGGTGGATTGACATCTAAAGGGAGATATGTGTGTGCTGCTTCATTGTCCGGTAGATTCAATGGAGCTGGTCTATTCAAGAGTTCCTCGAAGTATTCTACCCACCTGCTCCTCTGTTCTTGATTGGCCCGCCTTCTTTGTCTTTGACCGGTTTCTCTGGTTTACTGTATTTCCCTGCTAGTTTCTTCATTGTATCGTAAAGTCGTTTCATATTCCCTCCCTTTGCAGCTTTTTTCACCGTCGTTGCTAGTTCTTCCACGCATTCCTTCTTGTTGGCTCTAATGCTCCTCTTCACTTGCTTGTTTGCTTCTGTGTATTCAGCTTGTGCTTGAACTTTCTCTGCTCGTGTTCGACTGTTGTTAATAGCTGTCTTCTTGTTCTTCCTTTCTTTGATCTTGTCCAGTGTTTCTATAGAGATCCATTCCTTATGATGGTACTTCTTTAGACCCAGAACCTCTTGATACGTTGAAGTTAATGCTTCTTTGATACCTTTTCAGTTGTCCTCCATAGTAGTTTCTTCTTCCTTCACTAGATCTTGTGAGGCTTGGAACCTGTTGCTGAGAGCTATCTTGAATTCATTGAGTTTATCAGTATCTCGAAGGAAGGCTGTATTGAACATTTGTATTGCTGTTTGTCCAGTTGTCCAATTCTTCTTTAGCTTCAGTTTTAAATTGGCCACAACCAAGTGATGATTCGAAGCTACGTCAGCTCCTCTCCTGGCTCTCACATCTTCCATTGTCCTTCGGAATTTTTTATGGATGCAAATATGATCTATCTAGTTCTCTGTAGTGTGGTTCGGTGAGATCCATGTAGCTTTGTGTATACGTTTGTGTGGAAATATTGTGCCTCCTATGACCAATTTGTTGAATGCACACAGATTTGCAAATCTCTCCCCATTTTCGTTTCTCTCTCCCAGTCCATGTCGTCCCATGATATCTTTATATCCGGTGTTGTCTATTCCGACTTTGGCGTTTAGATCTCCCATCAAAATGGTGAGGTTGTTTCTTGGGCACTTCTCTATGATTGATTGCAGCCGCTCGTAGAATTGGTCTTTAATGTCAACGTTGCTATCATTGGTGGGTGCATAACACTGGATAACATTCATTGTAATTCCCTCCATCTTTGTTTTTGATGAGGCTTTGATGATATTGGATCCGTAAGATTCCCATCCTGCAAGTGCATTTCGTGCTTGCTTGGACAGCATTAGAGCAACTCCCTGAGTGTGTGGAGCATTTTCTTCTTCGTGACCGGAGTAGAGCGGCATCTCTCCCGCATCTAGCTTTTTCTGTTCAACTTGGGTTCAATGAGTTTCGCTGATTCCGAGTACTGCCAAATTGTATCTCCTCATTTCCGTTGGTATTTGTCTGGTCTTCTCGATCTCCCATTGTCCGGACGTTCCATGTATCTATAAAAATTGTTGCTCTGGTTGTTAGAAGAGGCATCGGCCTCGTGATTTCCGAAGGAGTTCGGCTTTCACCATGACGCGTCATAACTCTTCTAAGCGAAGAACTTCTAACTCCAAGGGCAGAGTTTAAATGGTTTGAATTAATTTTTCTGGTTAGCGTTTATTTAGCGAGTTAATTTTCTACGGGATGGGCTCGCTAACCCCATGCCCAACCCTCCTCCTTTGCCCAGGCTTGGGACCGGCAGTAACTCTAGAAGAGCTACATGCGGAGTTTTTTCCATGATGGTCTAGCTTTAATTGACTCATGAATTCAAATATTAAATTACTAAAATCTCTACAAAACCCCTTCCTGATTTTACTTTTGACGGTATTTTAACGTTTAAGTTCTAAAAAAAAATTGCAACAGTTTAAATAACTAGTCATTTTCATAACGAAATCTGTTTATTTCAAAAGATTATGTCTGAACTTGTTTAACAAATGTCCGTGCAACTAAAATTGGAAATATTAAAGATGCATCGGCATTAATCTTAACCGGTTCAGCTAAACCTTTAATTTTTCCCCAACTTACAGCTTCATCTGGTCTAGCACCGGCGTCACTACCATCAAATTCTTGTCCTGTGTTGATAAGTACACAATAATCAGCTCCATTTCGCATCAAATTTGCATTGAATGTGTGATGTTTTATAAGACCACCACCTAGTACTATCATTCCTGTAGCACGAGCATTAATTGCCAGTAAATTGATATTTCGAATATCTTCAACTAGATCTATTTTTAAACCAGGGGATCGATAAGTGTGACTAAAAAGGACATCACCCAGCGAACCATCGGTTAAACCGGGACAAAATACCGGAATTTTATTCTGATGTAAAATTAATAGGATGAACAGAATGAAAATTAGAAAGAATGAACATGCAATTAATGGAACAACAAGATAATGATAGGTTGATAGACAATCAGTGATACTGTTTACAGATGTGTTTTAAGCACATGAATTTCCGGAAGTATAGTAATTAAAATCGAGGAATCGGACTGAATTGCCGATCCCATCAAGAAAACGAATCAACTCGTTGTACTTAACTAGAAAGCAGTTGGCTTTCATTTCATCTCAACATAGTATTACTTAGAAACAACAAACCGTACTCCGAATACCTGTGATCCAATAAATAACATGGTAATCCACAAATTGACTCCAAACAGTATATCAATACAACTAAGTCTCAACCATTTTGTGATAGTAAACAATAATATCCATGGCTAATGGGACATATCTTGGATTTATGGCTCTCTGATAAACAACTTTAAGATCAAAGTGGTGGTCTGGTTTGTCCATAGTGAATCCGGTCAATTTTACACAAACTGGAACGCTTGTTCTTTAAATTAATTTGTTATGGAGGACGGTTGAGGAATTAAGCTTACTCTAGGTTAGAGTAATTGGTTTCAAGGATTCTTAGAGACTCAGATACTGAATTTTATGGACTTCCAAATGTAGATGTGGCATGAAATTATAGAACGAACAACATACTTCTTGAGTGAATACGATCTGATAGTCATCCACAAAGTTTTTCAAGGACTTGAAATAATTGTCTTTACACCAATAGAGAGACGGCATCAAGGAATAGTTTTGTCGAGAACATTACTCAAAAATGTCACGCATACAAAACTACTCATAATTACCACAGAACACATCACTACCAAGTATCTCAAGAAACGCTATTTCGACAAATCAATAACAGTGATCATTTGTAACGCTGCTCCAACTTACTCTGATGCTAACTTTGAACATATCGAAAGAGATTGGTTAACTTGGCGATTGCCATATTATGCTTAATAATAAACACATTCTGATTATATCCTCACGCAATGTGGAGTAAAAGCAGGTGAACACCCAACTATCTAAGAGTTTACACAATGGTTTACAGCAGTTACAAGTCGCAGAAAACAGACGAAGTATGTTGCAGAATAGAAAAGACACTAAAAGTGGGTAACTCAGTAATTCTGTAACTTTATTGAAGATGCCGGGAAAAAATGAATAGTGAGGATATAACACAAGGTAGGCTATTGATAACAGTTTGGAGGATTTAGTTCGAAAGTTGGATGAAATATTTCATCAGCTACAACCCGTCTGTAGTCTGAATGGGACATTGATATTGCTCCACCACCCCTTACGTAAACTGAAAAAGTGTGACTGTTTGAAAGGATTTGATAGTATGAATCAACATGCTTTCGAGGATGGCATTCAGAAACTGAGTCGCACTTTAATGTGAGATGATGAAAATCAAACGGTCCTAACAGAATCATTTCAATAAATACCATATTCATTCATGTGGGTCCAGTCACCTAACACACTAATTTTAACTAGCAGTTTGAGAATGGAAACGTAATACTCTTTACAAATTGGCAAATAAAGCCCAAACTTGTTATCAATGAGAATAGGTGTAGTGTCAAAAGAATACAATCACTTACTTTATAGCACCAATAATATATGGAGTCTTTATGGTTGATTTCTTTACCTAGACGATTGATCAACTTAGACGGGGTCCAATTTATATTCTAAATAACATACGAAAACAGTGTGAGTTTTATATGTACTACTGAATAACAGAAATACTTTTATCTACTGAGTGATGAAAATCCTTATAAAAAACCTATTCATTATTATGTGTAAAATAACTGTAACCAAGATACCCTTTCAAAACTAAACAGATAAGACAGTACTAGTTTTTCTTCCTCTCTATGGGTGACGTTAACACCAAGTAAACTGACCTCGAGTTGCATGAACAAAACATTTGTCCTGTTTCAAGGATATTAAATATAACCACCATGAGTCGAGAAAATGAGATTGTAGTCGGTTGTGTGGATCAAATTAGATTTTCGGTATCATGTGTTCATTCAAGTTATTAGCGAACATTTGTATTATCTTAATAAATGTTGATTAAATAGTTCTATTCTAAAATACAGGAAGCACAACTGTCATTACTACTTTGATTGTGTTGAATAGGACAGTGGGATATATTGTTTCCAACTATCTGACTACTAAGCAAGGCATAGATATTATTGATAGTATAGGGTTCTATGGCCACGATTGCTAAATTGCGAAGCTTACGTTGCTGTGTGTTGGATAATATAAAAGTCTGACTCAAATATAGAATAATGAATACGAAGACTGAAAAGATACTCAGAATTCAGGAATCTTTTATAAAAACCAACAATTTACATTAGTTTGAAATCGGTTCTGTTTGTAAGCCTTATCAGAAAGTTGAAACTGTCTCTATGAACAAGAAATTACTTTAGAAAAAATTGGAAACAAGCTAACTGATAAGGAAATCGAATAGACATTTCGAAGTTAGTATCCTTAAATCCACAAGCTAAAATGCATAAATCTATCAATGAGAAAATTATACACCATGAAGTATCATACGCCGGATACACATAATATCAACACTCATAATAATTGAATTTCAAAATAAACATACCTGGGAATTTTGCTCTTCTAAAACTTTATCTAGAATGGGTAGAAGCCATTGTTCAAATTTAACATAATTATTATTTGGTACAAGTAGATTGCCAATACGATTTACACCGATTTCTCTTAATTCATGACCACGCCATCTTTCAAAATCTCCTATATATGAAGGAGCCAGACATTTGATAAAGTCTTCTTCTACACCACCAGCAGAAGTGACTATCACATCAACCTGTTGATGGAAAAATGTTCGTTGAAAAATCTTGACACAAAAACCAGCCGATATGACGAATGATACTATAATAAGTCCGGTTGAGTTACTTGATTTGAGATACTCTCATTGTAGCTTTATTAAGGGCTGATGGAAAAATACCTAAAATTTGTGGTGTTTGCAGCATGACGCTCAATGCGTCTTTTCTCTGAGAAAACTAAGACCACATTTAATTATTTCTTATGGGCATCTGGAATATGAGCAGATAATAACTAAAGCATGATGCGAGTCTAAAAATCGGTCACAATAATTGAAATGAGCACGTTGCTACGATTTACACGTTACAGGTCAAGGATTCTATGCAGTGTTAGCTGTTCATTCTAATAAAGAAAAATATTAGACCCAATGCTACCAGTTCCAACAGCAAAGCTGTGAGATTTGCCCGAGCTAGTAATTAACTTATGGGTCAGATTTGAAGCATAGTTTCAGACAGTACTAAGTGATACTGAATGCACTTCCTAGATCAAATCACTTGATTTCTACTCCAAACCATTAGACACCTTAGTGACGAAAGAATAGGAGATTTCACAAGACTCACGTATACCTCCAACCTTTCCACATTTGTAACGGTGGGGCAGACGAAAATGACATGAATTTCGTGAGTCTCATGATATGAAAAACAAAATCTAATATCCGACAACAAATTCAAAACAGATTTTGAATTATTCATTCAAATGACGTATTGTGATAATAGTTCGTAAGCGGTAGCTCTAATTTAGCAAACAAAATGGAAAAGCATTTTGCATACATGCAAGTTAATTCATGTATGAGTGATCTTAATAAGTTAAATAAAAATAATAAACCTTGTTTTGATGATTTGGTCAAATTCAATTCACTAATTAATCTCAACTCATGTTCCGCAATACTCATTTTTGTTTGGCAAATGGAAGCGAGGTTTCAAGTTGCAACTAGAAGTTTATTAAATGGGGTCGGATGATACTACTTCTGTAAATAGTCCATTAACGTTACAGTGTGTGAACTTATCAGCCTTGAATCAAATGAAATTGTAAACAGACAGATATTTCAAGTTGTCAAACTATCAGTAAACCACTTCGTTAAACCATAAAAGTACAGTCAGGTGGACAGAAAACTCATTAGTATAGCATGGACCTTCATAATCTAATCAATTCGACAATTTTTACTACATTGAAACCATGTCCTCCTATTTGATACACTTCACGGAAAGATCTAGACTGACAATTCCACCCCATAACACATGAATTAAGACAAAAAGACACCAATAATGATATATTTAATCCAAATAAGAGTAAAACATATCTTTACTTTGGTTAAAGATAAAATTTGAAAGACAAAATGAGACTTTGGTAGAATTTACTAAATCTTACCATGTTATGTTCGGCCAGAAAACGTATAACTTCTCGAACACCAGAGCTCACCATATTTGATGTATAAGCCAAAAATATAGTACATTCTGATAAAGGTCTATTTAAAGGATGAAAGTCTTGTAAAACTTGAGCTAATTCAATTTCTTCGCGTGAAGTAGGTTTTAAATTCCGTTTATTAATCTGTTGAAAATGATTGGAAAGTAACTTTATCATAATAAATGGGCATATTTAGGAAAACATTTGAAAACAGTTCAGACTAGTTGACAGATCAAAAGACTAAGTGAATGAAAAGGAAAGGTATGTATAATTTAGAAAAATTATGTGTTAAACATCAACAAACAATATATAAGCACAATTAAAAGCATAAAGAGGTTTGTGATAATTAAACATGAATATTGGTTTCAGTAGAAATTTTATTGTTTGTCAAAAGACAATAGACACCACTACACATAATTATTTTTATGAATTTTAAATATCACAAAGTATTGCACTTAATATACAATGAAACTAACTATAAAAACTTCGAAATATCTACCATTTCATTCAGAACATGTTCAGCCTTTGCAAAATGAGTTGCCTGAAATCCAATACATTCAAAAGATGAGAACAAAGCATCGTAATTTAGACCAGCGTTAAAATCATATCCCTTTACTTGAAGATGAACACCTTCTGGCAAACTAGTACATGGTTTAAGAACAGCGTCTACGAAACCAGGAGGTCGGTCATCATGACAAGAAACCTGAGAGTGATTCTTTTCCTGAAACAAGGTGATGAGAAAAAGCAAATGAATAAGCAACAAATCTAGTATTTTAACTTAAAACATATATACATATATTTACAAAGTAGATTGAAGCACACATGGAGTGTAAATTTGGGGTATACTAAATTACCATCCAAACCAGATTACTAGTGTTAACCTATGTGTCCGCCACCTTCCATTTCTTTATATCAGTGATACTCTTTTCGATCTCATCAATAGTTGGAGTACTTATGTTAATTTCACATCTAGGAAGATAAGGGGTAACTCAGGGAAAGTTGAGCAATTCCTTAGTGTTTTATACCTTGAAATAACCCTCTAGATGAGGAGGATAACGATTCTATCATTTTCTGAGAGACCTTTACTAACAGCTGTTCTTTTCAATGCCAGTTTCCTTGGTGAGGCGGAATGCTTTTCTGTCTCATGTCATTCAGCACACTTGTTGTTCTGCAGGGCTTAGTAGTGTTTGTGTAAGGGAACTAAAATGTACGGACAAATTTAACAAATACTTCTTGCAACCATTAGGAAACTCGTTTCATGTGAACTATATATATGGTTTTAGAGAATCCTTGAGTTACAGCTGATCTCAGTTGATGATTAAGACCTTAATGCTAACTCTTAAAATTCAATTACAAACACAACTATCACTCACAAATTTCAGCCGAAAGCTAAATGATCGTCGATTCGAAAAGACAGCTCTGAGGATCCTCAGAAGTTATAACGCTTTATTAATCCTCATTTAAGTAAACATCTTTTCGAGCAGATAAGTAGTTCAAGTTCGCAAGTAGCTTATATTTTTGCCGAAATTAATATAATACTTGAGTTTAAGAATCATACTATAGTTAGACGCGTAACTACTCATATTTAGTATCACGTCAGTATAACCTGTATAGTAAATGGTTTCATCAAATGAATAAGGTGGATTCCCTGAGTGAGACGCTAATATCAATTACTCGGGATACAATATGAAACATACTTCCATCCTCAAGGTAGCCACAGCATCGGGTACCCGTGGTCCGGTAACGATTTATTAGCATCGTCCGCCGCTGAATACCTCTGAGCACTTGAAGGTCAAACTGTCGTAAGACGATTGGTGAGTCACCTTGATAGTTTGTAAGCTTTTCCAGAAGCAACTGGGTCAAGACAAACTGAAATTTGATTTGAGTTCAGACGCATTATGTCTGATACCCTCCGCTGTTTGAGTAGCAAACAAGATGCTAAATCTCGAGCGCCACTTAAAAGGATAGTGGTATTTTTCCTCTCTGAGTCAAATTTAAGGTTTTGATTGTTTATCAAGAGTTTATCTAGACCACTGTTTCTAGCTTTAACTAAAGTTACTTCAGTTGGAGTAACATCAGGCGTACCGCCTTTTCTTATGAAAGTTCTTGTACTTTTTTTTAGCACATTCGCTTTTTGTCTGTTGCACTTGTGAACCTGACACTTCGCGGTTTCACTTTTTTGTGTAGCGGCAAATAAATCTTCAAGATAAAGTCTTCGACATTGGACACTGACCACATTAGTTTTAATGAACTCACCTAGCTGAAGGCGTTCGGTCATGCATCTGCACCAGATCACGAGTGGGAACGCCGTACTCAACATCCCTGCAATCGCTAGCCAGATTAGATCAGACGATCCTCGATATATTGATAGACTATCAAATATATCTACGAACCTCCTCGCTGCTGTCTTTTGATCTCACTTGGTGGGTGCGATTCATATTAGAAGGTGTTACTGATTGAAGTGTTGTCTAACTACAAATACCTGTGACATCTTCAGTGGAAAAAAGAAATTCAACGACCGGGCTGTCGACATGTAGTGAGATGAGTGCAATAGGCTGTACCATGAATTATGCACAAATCTGAAGCTAGCGGGTTTCGAAAGGTTTAATAAAATGGATGAGCGTAATTATGTCAGCAATGCTGTTGAGACGCAAACAGCTTGCTATCCGAAACTATTGCAATGGCAAGCGATTCTAAAAGTTATAATAACAAGCGTGTAGTTGTAAATAAATCCGCGAAATGAATAGTTCTGTAAGTCTTCGACATTTCATGCTGACCTTATTGGTTTTACTGCACACACCTAGCTAAAAGGACTCAGTCACGCATCCACATAAGATCATGAGTACGATACGTAACACATCCCTTGCTACAACTAGCCATCGTAGTTCAAATGCTTCCCGATATATTGATAGCCTTTCATATATGTCTTTGAATTCTTTCGTTTCTGACTTGACTGCGTTGGAATACTCCAACTCCAAAGGTGTTAAGTGTAAAGGCGTTATCAAGCTTCGAATATCTGTTTTATCTTCAAGTATACTAGAGAGGTACCAACCGGTGCTCGCCCCCTCGACACACAAATTGATGTGCATTCATCCCAGGTAAGCTCAAGGTTGATTTGCTAGCATGAACCAATGGAGGAAAAACAGACTTCAAAGGTGTTTGTTAAAATTAAAAGCTCAAGAATAAATGAGTTTTGACATGAAAACACTAAGCGCATTGAGAATGACGCCTGGAGGAAACGCTATTAGGTATACAATCAGATTGATTGTCAGAGATGGATTTCAGTTGTATGAACTTATCATGAACAAATCAAAAGTCACCGCTTCACCATTGAAATCCCTATAAAATATTAGACTTGTGAACACCTTCTTCTCTGTAATACAAGGGTTTATGAAGTAAATATCAGTCAAGGAAACAGGGATCGTGTGTCCAGTTTCATTTGCATGTTCATTAAATTATTTAACTAACCGTTTTTTACCTTAATAGCAGACTCTTGGTAACTTCATGAAGTTAGTTCCGTTTACTTAACGAAAAAAAGTGTAATGTTATCACAAAACATTATTACGTATCCAAAATCTGCATACTCATTATGAAGTTTATATTCATATTGTTGTAAATAATAACAGTGTAATAAATCTTACGTTTATTTGATTATTCCTTTGTGTGCTCAGTTTCACCAATTCACTAGTTGATTTTCTCACATGACTTGGCCTCACTTTTTAACCCTAATGACGGGGATATAGTAGCCTGCAGAATTTTCGGGAAACACGGTTGCATCTATGGATCCTGTGTTGGGAGACACAAATTTGTCGAGAGTCTAACACCGTCGATGTTATGGCGGCGTTATGTTGTGACATATTCTCACTAGTGTCGATGCGTGTTCCACTGATGCTAATATTGTCGAAGACACTCTTCTATACTTCATTGCTCGTCCTTATTCATCCGCTACAGGGCTGCCATTTTTCAAGGTTGCTGACAATTATTTTCTCAGAAATTTTAATAGAACGGTGATGTTGTGTAGTGAATCCTGAGTATTTGTATTGCATGTACCTCATACTCACCTGTGATCTGACCTACAAGATCTATTGTAGGCAGTCGCTATAAGATTTCAGCATGCTCCGTGAAACCAACCTTTGCATTTGCCACAATGCATACCACAGGTAAGAGTGAAACGGCATCCAGATTGCTTACAATAGGTTTTCATGGCTATAGTGATGTATGAATTGCTAGATAGATCTGTAGTGGTATTGGTTCCCCACCACATGGTCTTAGCTCCACAGACGTGGTCATTCTGCATAACTTGTCTTTATTCACATTAAATATATTTTTCTATCTTCAGCACAAGTGTGTTCATCAGAAGTGCTAAGTATCATGTTGTTAAATGTCACGATACGATGAGTCAGTGTAAACAATGATGTGACTTCCATGTAAGATCTTATAGATCAGGTAGTCATACCATTACAAATCTAAAATTTTGAGATGTGGTCTATTATTAGATTAGTACTAACACCGAATAAGACTATAAATCCACAAATACTAGCAAAAGTTTACGACAGTAAAACAAAAAACAATGCACTCGAAACAGATGAAAATGGGTGGTACAAAAAGTGAGAATGTACTAAGACTAGCCTAGAAGTGAGAACTATAAAGACCGATTAGTGAACTTAGTCAAAACCACAGTTTACTGTTAACTCGGATAACGCTCAAGAAGAAAAGTAATCTGCCTAACATTAGGCTTAGAACAGACTCTTTGTATCAAAAATGGTTCTTTTGTTGCGGTAGGACACAGCAAAAGTCTAAGAAATGCGAGTCACGTTAGAAACAAACTTCCCACTCATAAAGTGCAGTGCATCGGAATCAGACGCTTACCTTCAAGATTTCAATATTGGTGGCCAATATTTTTCCGGAGACCACACACCTAGATCACCACCATGATCTAGACTAAGAAGACGGCTTCAGTCAATTTTCTGTGCTCCATTTCAAATGAATTTATGCTTTAGGCCTAAATATGACAACTATCAATCCGAATTTTAGCCGTGTAGTCACACATGCCGAAGATAAGTAAGTGTACATTTCTTGGTCACTGTAACTATCATAGATTTGTTTTGAAAGAGCAATAGTTGGACAAGGAAATACAGTTTTATCAGTAAAAATGAGCTAAAACCTAATACTAACAACAACTTTGGAGTCACAATCAGTTGGATGTGTCAGCTGCACAGATCAATCTACAACATGTGGACTGGGAAGTCCACCCTCAACATGATATGGACGCTCATTGAGACTTCTTACATCATAGGATCCTATGTGCTACAGAACGGTTTGTCCAGAAAGCAGTCCCTGAAAGTTGCAACGAACATACAGTCATCAATGATCACACCCTTCAGTTGCCAAGACGCGAAGTGCACTAGTGGGCGGAATGTAAACGAACTGGTAAGAACAATACAAATATGTAGTGCAAACAAGCGAAGAGCCAATACACAAATTCAGTAAGGGAATACAGGCTTCAGTGTCAAGTAAAGTTAGTCAATAAATTCGTCCCCGACCGAGAAAGCTTATTCCGTCATGCAGCCTCACTTCAACAAGTCAACTCTGAGTTTCCCAGTTGTTAAGTCATAATGGCCCAACGATCAGCGAGGGTGACTCAGAACATTATTTTTCGACATTCCAGCCGTTCCATACTAACTAAATCGACAAGGTTTCCTGTTGCAACTTGACAGGACACTCAAAAAGAACCTGAGTTCCGACTTCGTGTATCAGAAACTGCAGCACCCAACACAAGGACAATTCTCCTGATCCCGATATGGTCCATTTTGCTATACTAATGAAAGCAGCTTCAATCTTGGCAACACCGCGTTATATCCTCAAATTCTCTAAGCCGAGATACTAACTTACTTACTTACGTCTGTTACTCCTCGTGAAGGAGCATAGACCGCTCACCAGCATTCTGCATCAAACCCTGTCCTGGGCGATCCTTTCGAGCTCTTTCCAGTTCCTATTTATCCTTTTCATATCTGTTTCTATTTCCCGACGTAATGTGTTCTTCGGCCTTCCTCTTTTCCGCTTCCCATCAGGATTCCAAGTTAGGGCTTGCCTCGTGATGCAGATTGGTGATTTCCGTAGTGTATGTCCTATCCACTTCCATCGTCTTTTCCTAATTTCCTCTTCAGCTGGAAGCTGGTTTGTTCTCTCCCACAGAAGGCTGTTGCTGGTATCCGGCCAATGGATGTTGAGTATCTTGCGTAGACAACTATTTGTAAATACTTGTACTTTCTTGATGATGGCTGTAGTAGTCCTCCAAGTTTCAGCTCCATACAGTAGGACTGCCTTGACGTTCGTATTGAAAATTCTCACTTTGATATTGGTTGAAAGTTGTTTTGAGTTCCATATGTTCTTCAATTGTAGGGATGCGGTCCTTGCTTTGCCAATCCTCGCCTTTACGTCTGCATCCGATCCCCATTGTTCATCGATGATGCTTCCCAGGTCCGTGAAGGATTCCACGTCTTGCAGAATTTCACCACTAAGTGTGGTTGGGTTAGTGTTCTCGGTGTTGTATTTGAGAACCTTGGTTTTTCCTTTGTGTATGTTGAGGCCCACTGATGAAGAGACTGCTGCTACACTAGTTGTCTTCACCTGCATTTGTTCGTGTGTATGGGATAGGATGGCTAGGTCATCTGCGAAGTCCAAATCGTCTAATTGATTCTAAGCTGTCCATTGTATGTTGTGTTTTCCCTCAGATGTCGAGGTCTTCATAATCCAGTCGACCACCAGAAGAAAGAGGGAGGGAGAGAGTAAACAGCCTTGTCT